ACAGTATTCCTGGGCTGGGCTGTCGGCGGCGCGCTGACACGTGGGGCTCCGACTCCCTCTCCCAGCGCAGCGGCCGTTTCACTTCTCCCGCCTCCCAGGCTTGCGTTGCCAATCAGCTGTTTGGCGCCGCAAGCCTGGGAGGGGAGGAGAATTAGACTGGGGGCGGTGTGCTCGGGGAGGAGGTGGAGAAGGTGAGCTGGGGTGGGGAGCTGCCTCACAGCTCTCCTGGGGCGGGGGGAGCTGCTGCGAGGGGGGGCAGGGAGCTGCTGCAGGGCTGGGGATGGGGAGGGGTGCAAGGTGGAATTTTCGCCTAAGGCGCAAAACTTCTTTGCGTCAGCCCTGTATTTTTGGTTACAATCTCCTGCTGTCAACTGACTACCAAGATAGATAAAACTATTCAATCTTTACCATCTACATGTAGCATTGACAGATCATTCATTTCCATTTTATAGAAGGCACATATAACTTTTGTCACCATTGATCTTAAGTCCCAGAGATTCTGAATTTTTTTTTGAGCATTTAGTGTGCCTAGTGGTACATATAATTGTATGCGGGTCGATGGTAGTAGTGGACTGAGAATCAGGAGTATCCCAGGGCTGCATTCTCTCTGGTATTTCTAATAGACTATGTCAGGGGTGGGCAAACTTTTTTACCTGAGGGCCGCATCGGGTTTTGTAAGTTGTATGGAGGGCCGGTTAGGAGAGTGGGTCGTGGCCCGGCCCCCACCTCCTATCTGCCCCCATTCCCCCCGGGACTCCTGCCCCATCCAACCCCCCCCCCATTCCCTGATGGCTCCCCCCTCCAGGACCCCTGCCCCATCCACACCCCGCCCCCCCCCGCTCCCCGTCCCCTGACTGCCCCCAGATCCCTGCCGCCCGTCCCCAACCCTCCTCTTATTCCTCGACGGCCCCCCCCAGGACCCCTGTCCCATCCAACTACCCCTTCTCCCTGTCCCTGACTGTCCCATCCAACCCCCGTTCCTTCCTGACTGCCCCCCCGGGACTCCTGCCCCCATTGAACTGCCTGTTTCCCCCTGACCTCTATCCACACTCCCACCCCTGACCACCACCCCGAACTCCCCTGCCCTCTATTCAACCCCCCTGCTCCCTGCCTCCTTACCATGCTGCCTGGAGCACCGGTGGCTGGAGCTGGGCCACGCTGCTGCCGCTGCCACCACGCAGCACAGAGCACTGGGTCAGGCTGGGCTCTGCAGCTGTGCTGCCCCAGGAGCTCACAGCCCTGCTGCCCAGAGCGAGCTGAGGCTGTGGGTGAGGGGGAACAGTGGGGGAGGGCACGAGGGCGAGCCTCCCGGGCCAGGAGCTCGGGGGCCAGGCAGGACTGTCCCGCAGGCTGTAGTTTGCCCACCCCTGGACTATGTGATGACAAAGCTGCTGGGAGGCGTAAATACAAGATGTGAAATTTAAAAATTCATCTTTAAAGGATTTTTTTCCCCATGTGACCTTTTTCATGTTACTATGCAAAGTCATAACATGTCTGCTCAGTTAGAGCTTCAGTAGCTTGTCCCTACAAGACCACATTCGGAACCACATGCAGGAGACCATAATTCATGTGTGCAAAGAAGGTCACAGTGGTTAGTTCATACATCAAGAGAATAAATTAGTATAAAATTCACAGTTGAACAGATTGGCTGTAGCTATCACCAAAATGATACATCTCAGTTCATCCTCTTAGTCTTAACTGAAACAAGAGTGGGGGGGAGGGATAGCTCAGTGGTTTGAGCATTGGCCTGCTAAACCCAGGGTTGTGAGTTCAATCCTGGAGGGGGCCATTTAGGGATCTGGGGCAAAATCAGTACTTGGTCCTGCTAGTGAAGGCAGGGGGCTGGACTCAATGACCTTTCAAGGTCTGTTCTAGGAGATAGGATAATCAAAATCTTAATTACATTTAATTTTAAAAAATTCAAATAATGAGGAAGAGAATCGTTATGTCACATCTCTGATCTAGAAAGTCTCCCTTAAACAAATTTTTTGAAAGCACGGCAAAGGGCCAATTTAAGAAAGATATGGAATCTCTCAGAAAAATAACTTTAATCTTTCATAATACTAAATTATTTCTGTCTTCTGTCAACAAAAAATAAATTTTCACAAAGTGTATGATCTTGGGAAGAAAGATTTCTTTGCAACAGCTGAATAAGGAGAAATTCCAGAGGAATTTAAAGCCTTAGAATTTTAAGATTCAAAAAAGGGTTCAAAAAAGAACTAGATAAATTAATGGATGGATGGATAGGTCCATCAATGGCTATAAGCCAGGATAGGCAGGGATGCAAAACCATGCTCTGAAGTGGCCCTAGCCTCTGTTTGCCAGAAGCTGGAAATGCATCACTTGATGATTCTGTTCATTCCCTATGAAGCATCTGGCATTGGCCACTGTCGAAGACACGATACTGGGCTAGATGGACCATTGTCTGACTTGGTATAGTAGATCTTATATTTCTATGTTCGTAAGATTGTTATAAAATGGCTGAAAGTTTGTATTGAGTTAATTCCCAATACATACACATTACAATTCATAGAATTTTTAAGCTGTTCTGTCTTCCTTGGCATCTTCAATAAATGCCCGCATTTTACGGCTTCAGAGATTTCAAAATCCAAAGTAATCCCTTGCATTTTTGGTTAGCAAATCTTAGCTCTCTATTGTTAGATGAGAGCCATTAGTGTCTGGTGTGTGTGGAGGGGACCTAATTGTACCTTGTCCCTTTTGTGGTCTCTTTAAGCACTTATTTGTGGGTTGTGTTCCTTTATACATTTAAAAAAAAATTCTAATTATGTCACAAGACTGAGATTGACTGCTGTATAAGGTGAGAATAGAGCACTTGCTCTCCAATGTGCTACAATTGTAACTAGGCAGAACAGCTTTTGAACACACTTTTCGCTCACATCTTGCTTATCAAAATGACTTTTCTTAACCCCTATGTTTGTGTTTCTAAACAGTCTGTATCAGCATTTGCTCCTGTCTGCAACCCAGTCCAGTGTCCCTGGGGGAAGAAAGCTTTTGGTGGATATCTGGGATCAGATCTAACTAAATGGGAGGTATGTGTGGGAGAGTCCAGTCATTTAATGAACTGTAAAAGAGCTTGTGACTGCACTATGTAGTAGGGAAGCAAAACATGAAGTGATGACTTCTGTTTGAATAACACCATGTTATCCCATCACCAAACATTGAATCTGACTGAACAGTACGTGTGTGGATACTGATCACCATCATATGGCTGGCTCGCACTTTACAAAAAACATACATTGACAGGAGGCTGTTCTTACCACATAGAGACAGTAAATTCTCTCCTCACTTCTGAAGATTTTAAATTGTGAGAGAAGTAGAAATATGAGCAAGCTCTGGCTCTTCATCTGTTTCCTGGAAACATTGAACAGATGAAAATCTGCTCCCCTTTTTAGGGTGATGAAATGCTCTGAAGCAGTGGTCCCCAACCTTTTCAGTGTGGCGGGCGCCTGACGACTAGCCGCCGAGGAGCATGGCTGCTGGACAAGCAGCCGCTGAAATGCCACCGAAAAGCAGCAACGCCAACAAGCGTCGCTGCCGAAATGCTGCCGAGAAGTAGCGTCAAGAGGTGCCGCCGAAAACCAGCGGCATTTCAGTGGCAGCGCTTGGACATTGCTGCTTTTCCGGCGGCCAGTAAGTGGGTGCACATAGATGCCACGGCGGGCACCGCATTGGGGACCCCTGCTCTGAAGGCTCCCCTTAAGTTATGTCTACGCTACAAGTGAAGTGTGATCATAACATGGGTAGGCTAGCTTTAATTGAGCTAGCACAGGTAACAATAGCAGTGTAGATGTGGTGGCATGGGCTTCAGGACAGGCTAGCAACCAGAATATGTAGTTAGACTACCTGGAGGGCTTGTACACTGGCTGCTCGCCCATGCTGAAGGCCATGCCACCTCATCTACACTGCTATTGTTTCCTGTACATTTAGATTAAGTTAGCACGGTATGCCTGAGCTACATTCACTTGCAGAGTCGACGGACCCAAAATGTATATTCCTGTGTTCTCTGTGCACAAAGGATTTGCTTCTTATAGTGGCAGGCAAAAGAGGAAAAACGTGTTGGTCAGAGATCGGTAAGTGAGTTCTGTAGGAGCAGGCTGGCAAAACGTTCGGTTCTTTAGTCGTGATTAAATACTATGGGCATTGATACCGGTAGAACGGGATTTGAGTCAGTGAGATAGATTTAAGGTTTTGGCCTGAGAGCCCCAACTTTGAACTTACTCGATAGTTTGGACAGACTTTTAGTGTAAACATTGTCTTAGACCCCAGTTTGTTGCAGTCCATATCCCTATCCTATCCTAAACAATAATTCTAACCCAATTTGGTAGTATAGTTACTAGGTGAAGAAAATTCTCAAAAATGTTGTTACTTTTAATTAGTTTAATTTTATTTCTACAGGCATATGATGCTACCCATCTTGTGAAGTCTTATCCAGATTCTCATCTTGACATCTTAATTGATCAAGGCAAAGATGACCAGTTCCTTTCAGCAGGGCAGTTACTGCCCGACAACTTTATTGCTGCCTGCACAGAGCGGAAAATCCCTGTAGTCTTTAGATTGCAACAGGCAAGTACCAAAAAGTACCTTTTTGGGGGGAAGCAGGGTGGGGGTGTCTAATGCATCCATTCCATAATTACTGGGTTGACTCTGTGTGCCTAAAAAGGTGAAGCAGCTAGCCAGAGACAGTCCCAGTCCTGAAATAGACAAGACAGGCAAAGTGATTTGTCCAAGGTCACACAGCAGGTCAATGGCAGGGGGAGAACAGAGAGCAGCTCTCTTGACTCAGTGCAGTGGTGTATCCACTAGACCCCACTGACTTAATTACTTTGACCACTATAGGGGGAGCTGATTTTTAGTTTAAACATTATAGGGTGTTTAGAGTGCAATCCAATCTACTGGCGACATGCTGATGAGGAAGAAAATACATGCATTTTGTTGGAGATAAGTATCTTGCTCTGTTTTTAATATAATATTGCAGTAACCCATCACAAAAGCATTATGAAGAAAGTGTGCTCTTATCTGATTGATCATCTGTATACATTTAAACCACATAGTGGCGTTTATAGAGTGGTACATTGTTGGTTTTGGCTGACAGGATAAGTCAGGAGGCAAAGAAAGAACCCTCCCTTTCCTGCAGCATTATGGTGTAGAGTCGCAATAGCCTGAAATTCTTCAGGGTTTTTGAAATGACTCCATCCTATCTGCCATGTCCTTCCAAGATAGCTGGTGCCTGCACAGCAGGTGTATTTATGGAGTGTGCCCATCTTCATCGGGATGGGAGAGCCTAGTGCACAGCCAGTTTATGTAGCCTCCTAGGGCTAGGACAGGCCCTGCATAAACCTGAAATAGCCTCCTTACTGCCTTCTTACAACGAGCACACAGCGAATGAGCCGTCACTAACAATGCTTGAAAATCCAGTTCCAACGCCTTACCATTAAGTACCTTGAATTGCTGAATCTGTTTTTCTCTTACTAGGGCTACGATCACAGCTACTTCTTCATTGCGACGTTTGTTAATGATCACATCAGACACCATGCAAAATACCTCAGTGCTTGAAGCGTAGGAGTCTCTTTTGTCCAGTACAAGTCAATATATACACAAATGTTAACACAAATCAGTTGCTGAATTAGTGCCTATAAAATGGAGCCATGCTGATAGTAGTGCTAAAAATCCTTAATTCTCTTTGTGTACTTCAGAATAAATATTTTGAATGTGTTCATCTGCTTTGAAACTTGTTTAACCATATTGGGAAAAACATCCTAAGGGTATGGCTCAGAATAGAAATGATCATTTAAGTGTTCTTGTTTTTAAACAGCATATTGACGTAGAATGTCTGTGGTCTCAAGACAGTGCAGACTGCAGCAGGAGGGTATGTGGAGAACTAGTACCACACTAACTTTCAATTTGTCTCTCATTCAGCACTGAACAGAATAACTGGACAATTTTGAATACATGGCTGAAAACAATAGCAAATTAAATGGATTTGCACTCAAGTGTTTGTCTCCTGCCTATTGAAATGTATTTCCAGGTTAAAATCTGCAGCTCTTGATGGAAGATGCAAACAAACTTACACTGTATTGTTATCAACCATTCCCCCTTGTTAACATTTAACCTGTAAGTGGGAGTGTAAAGGGACTCTGAAGGCAGCTAGCTGAAATCAGGTCTTAAAGAGAGCAGTTCATCCTTTTTATGACTTATGGTTCCCCAGAAACTTACTCAGTGGCAAAGGCTAGAGATTCTTCTAAGAGAGGAATAAAGGTCTGTGGCCTAATTAGTTTGAGGGATGGATACGCAGGGGGATAGACATAAAGAAACTAACAAGGAGAGCATTGGGGAGCAGATTCTGCCACCTTTTAGTACCTTACTGTCTGAGGAGAAAAGGGGGGCTATTTTACATGAGTAAAGGGTAGCAGAATCTGACTCTTGTACCAGATTTAAAATGATTCCCCATGGTGTGTAACTCTGCCTGCTAAGTTTGGGGGGGGGGGGGAAATACAGTCAGCCTAGTCTTAACTTGGGGTAACGCTCTAAAATCCTAGTGAACACGTGTGTCTCTACTTAAAAAGGCTTTTATGATGGGACAGGATTTAGCCAACCTACTGTAGCTGTTCACCATGCCCTATTTGGATCCAACAGCCAGTCCTTCCTCTCCCTCCTCCAATACTGGTACCGGCTATTTCAGCCTGGAGCTGGAGTAATAGCTCGACTGCTATACGACAGCTTTGGGGGGAGAATTTTTTACCTACAGCAAGTCCCTGAAAATACTTGTGGTCCACAGTTAGGTTTGAGAACCGCATCTTAATCGAGCGTATGGACAATCTCCTCCTGTTCGTGATCAGATAACATCCTCATGTAACACATTGCGGTTGCTTACATGAACAAGTAGTAGGTCAGTAATGTAATTTCATGTCATCAAATAGAGGACTTAGGAACAAGCTTTCATCCAACCATCCATACTCCAGAATCTCCTGCTCAAATCTTGATTTCCCCCCCTCCCCCCCTCTTCTGGACAGAAAGGTTAGTAGTTGGGCTTGTGCAGAAAATGTTTGTTTCCAGAACCAACACATCACTTGACCTCTGTTCTACTTTGACAGACCCCACTGACTGCAGTGTTAGGGAGACTGATGCTACATAATACCTTTATATTTAATGATTGCTGGCTTAAAAACTGCCCAGAGAGCTTAATGAACTCTTCAGTTACACATGTTGATAGTCCAGCAATAGGTAAGGCAGGGGAGGGCACGATGTTGACTATGTGGTCACTTTCCCACCACTAAAGCAGTGACTGTAGTGCTCTAATTCTCTACAACACGTAAAACAAACAACCACTCACCACCAAGCAGGCTATTTTCTGTGTTGAAAACGTAGTGGTAGAACTGCTAGCCTGAGAGAGGATATCAAATACCAGTTTGTAGCCTGCAACCAAAATTCAAAGCCATGATTTTGGGAAACACATAGATGTGATTTTCCTTAAAGACTCGGAAACAATTCTGCTCTTATTTAATGGCAAGCTAGCCTCTGCTCCCCCCGCTCTCTGTATGGGGACAGCTTAGTATTTCAGACAGTTGTAAGTCAGTAAGATTTCAAGCAACTGGGAAAAAAAATAGTTCCTTTCCTTTCACCTAATGGACACTCACAGCAAGTCCTGTGCGGGTACATGACAGTACAAAGCAGGGGTTGGCAACCTATGTCACGCGTGCCAAACACGGCACACAAGCCAATTTTGAGTGGCACGCTGCCTGCCCGGTGAGAGGAGGGGGGGCGGAGGGCTGTAAAGCGCCACACTGGGGGAAGAAGCGGGGGAGGAGGGAAGCTTGGCTGCCACAGGACCAAGCTTCTGCCTTCTACCCCCGCAGGGGAGAGCAGTGTGTGGGAGGTCCTGGTCCCCTGCCCCACTCAGCCCCCCCGTCCACCGCTCTCCCCTGCTTGGTCCTGTGGCCGGCAAGCTTCCCTCCTCCCCCGCTTCTTCCCCCAGCGTGGTGCATTCCAGCCCCTCCCTCTCCCTGCCGGTGATGGCCTTTGCGAGGGGGAGGGGGAGCAGAGCCGAGCCCAGCGTGCTCGCTGATCCGTAGAGCAGACAGAGAGGTAGAGATGGGCCTTGGGGAAGGGGGTGGAACAGGGCATATCCCTTCCAGCCCCCTGCCATGAGCCGCTCAGGGCAGGAGGCTGGGAGCACCCCCAAGAGCCGAGCACCCCAGCCCTCTGCCCTGAACTCCCCCCACCCCCAG